GCTGCGTCGGTTGCGGCTCGGTCTGGCGAGGGACCTAGCAGGACTGTGGCTGCTGGAGGCCGACGCGAGGTGGTAGCGGAGCGATGCATGAAGAAAAGCTGCCCCCGAAAATGATACCTTAGACAGGAATGACTGCGGCAAAATACCGAACATGTCCCAACCAGTACCCCGGGGTTATAGAGAATCTACACTGAATCACTGTTCAGCCAATAATGGCAGTCTTGTCCTCTTTGGGCCATGAGTGATATCATTCAGTCCACAGTTCCGATGGACGCATGAAAGATAAGACTACTTAGTTATGGGGTCAGTGTGCTGCTTGCGCAATGTGGGGTTGCGATTAGAAAATCGTCGCCTTCTTGCCCCTGCCCTCCCTTCCGACCTTTTACTGTAGATTATGCTCATGCACCTCTTCTCGATTAGTGTATTGGGCTTTGTCGCAATCATGGCCGTATCCATCGCCTATCTCTTACTTTTCGCCGGCCTCGCGCCCGCGTACCAGAAGATCTTGGCCTCGGCACCAACGACAGGAAACATTGCCTATACCCTGCCTACCGAGCGGACCTTCCTCCTTAACGTACCTGAGGTATACGATCATGACGAGCCACACCCTCTCGTCCTCTCCTTCCACGGAGGTGAGTAGTGGCCGGGATCGTGGCTAAACATCTCAGCCCAGGGTAATTGCGTGCTGATGACATACGCAGCGGGCGGCAACAGCAAAAAGCAGCAGCGCATTACAGAGCTCTCAGACCCGTCATTGAGAATCGCGGGGAAGCCCTTCTTGACGGCTTATGCGCAGGGTGTCAACAACACCAAGTGGCCCATGACACATATCTGGAAAGGTGCCCCTTATGAGAATAAGACTGTAGACGATGTAGGTCTGTCCTATCTCGTATAACACCGCTACCTCGCTTACACGGTCTAGATTGCCTACGTATTTGACATCATCTCCACCATCTCGTCGACTTACAACGTGGATCGATCCCGCATCTACGCCTGTGGCAAGTCTAACGGCGGCGGCTTCACAGCTCTGCTCGCCTGCCGTCCCGACACCTCGGCCATCATCGCCGCCTTTGCGCCCGTATCCCCGGCGCTGTACCAGGGCACCTACGCCTTCCACAACTGTACGCCCGCGCGCCCAGCGCCCATATTCCACATCCACGGCGTAGTGGACACCGTCACCCCGTTCTACGGCCGCACGCCGAAGGAGGGCAGCTTCGGGCCCGAGCCGGATGTGAGGCTGTGGCGCCGGCAATGGGCCGACCGAAACGGCTGCAAGGGCCCGTACCCCGGCGCGTGGCCGGAGCCTACCGTGACGGAAGCCCACCCTGGCGCTTGGGACGAGACTTGGGACTGCCCTGGTGCTGAGGTTAAGGCGCTCTCGGTCGAGGGGCTGGGCCATGCTTGGCCTTCGACCCTTGGCTTGGACCTGGCGGGGCGACCGAACCAGACCTCCAATTTCAACCTGACGAACCAGCACTTGGTGCAGTTCTTCTCGAGGCACAGATTAGTCTGAGTGAAGACGGACCGCTTTGTAGGTCTCGTTTCTTGCAATCTGTTGAAGGGTTGGATAGCTCCGCACGAGCCTCGATACTGTAACTCCTTGGCTTTTTCTGCTAAATGTAGACAATGGCAGATCCAAACTTGAGCACCGTGTTGAAGCCGTGATTGCAAGGCCAGAGGATTTTATGCCACCAAAATATGTCTCAAACCAGCCAGTCCCCATATCCCTTCGCGGCATCTGCCCAACTCTGTCCCGCTTCCCTCTTGAATGCCTTCACAGATTCGACATCCTTGGTCCCAAAGTTGCCGTACAGATGCGGACACCCATTTGTCCCCTCGGTCTCGTCCCACTTGACCTTTTCTTCAGGGAAGTGAGATCGGCGCAGACGTAATATCCACACTTCTGTGCTATCATTGAAGAAGAGGCCCAGAGTGATAGGAACCTGTGGCCTAGTCAGCGATGAGTTGGTCGCGCGGGGTCGAGGCACCAGGGGGGTGGGGGCGGGGAACGGGAGGCATGTTACTTGGAATGCCGCACTCAGGTGCACGAAACCATCCTTTTGATCCAGCTCCGAGAGAGGATAGGGATCCGGAATGGGCTCCGGAGGGGCCGTGGGGATGATCTTGTAAATAAACTGGGGTAACGGGTCAGGAGGTGCCATGGCGAATAGATTGGTTTGCTAGGACCGGGACGAGGAGTTCTGGGCGGAGGACGCTGGTTTCTCTGGTTCAACTCGGCCAGCATGTCGGCTAGCTTATGGGATGAGGAGCGGCGGTGAGTTCGGCCAAACCCGCTGTTGTTGGATCTCGTGTGGGGCCAAAGCATGATACGCGGGTGCTCATCCGGTGCCGGGCGATGACGCCACACCCGTGGCCCGAGACAACGGCCCAGCCCTTCTCATGGAGCCAACGGCCAACAAGCCAAGATGACTCAGGGGTAAATGGCCTTGAAGTAAACAAACATTCCTTCCCTCCAAGTGCCGGGTTCTTGGCTCTGCGGTTCCGATCATGAAGCAGGAGGACTACGAGGCTGGGTGCAAACAGTGGATGTTCGCCCGCCGAAAAAGCTGCCGAGCTACTCCGCGTTTTCCTGTTTAATCGGCGCTTTGGAGGTGGGGAACTGCAGTGCATCTTGTGCTCTATCTCTTTTGGGCCACTACCGGTTTGTTATTCGCATACCCTACATCTCAAGTCCAAATACATGTCTCGTTCAGACTCATCAAGATGAGTACCTCTACGGAGCCGCGACTGACGATCCTGGAACTTTCACCGTCCGAGCTGGAGGCCAAGAAGCTCGGTCGGCTGAACCTCGTAGCTGCTTTGGAGGCGCTCCATCGGGATGGAATTGTTGCACTCAAGAATGCTGTCAACCCACAACACCTGTTCGCCATACCTCTCACTTCCACTCTTAGCATCCTAGTTGTGCTCAAATAGAGATAGTGCTGACGGCAACCCAGAGACAAACTCAACGGCCGCATGGTTCCGGAGGCACAGGAGCTCTACGCACGCCCCACAACGCATCGAAACTTTGGCAGCGATACCGGGAATATACAGCAGGAGCCGGTCCTAGAAGACGGATTCATCTTCCAGGACATCGTCGCAAATCCATGGGCCAGCGAGATCACCAAGAACATACTCGGGCCGCACCCGGTCGTGCGCTTCTACAGCGCAAACACGGCCTTCAAGGCCACCGCACGGCAGCCCGTCCACATGGACGTTAGCTTTGACTTCCCCAAGCTTCCGTTCGGATACTGCCTCAACATCAACCTGGTAGACACATCGCCAGAGAATGGAGCGACAGAAGTGTGGCTTGGGACGCACACAGATGCATCTCAGGCTCTGCTCGACGCCGGGAGCGCAGTCCGACCTGAAGTTGTCGAAGCTCGCCGCAAGATTAGCCCTCCTATCCAACCCAGCCTTCCCAAGGGGTCCCTGATTATCCGGGACCTGCGGCTGTGGCATGCTGGCAGGCCGAACCAGACGGAGGAGCCGCGGGTGATGCTAGTAACGACTCAGTTTCCACAATGTGAGCCAATTTCAGGCCCCATTTTCCCCATATCCTCGCATCACCGAAGACCTTGCGCCAACATAGGAGATTTTCTTGTCTGGGTCGCTATCTCTGAAGTTGTTGGCAGACCAGATCAACTGACTGCGAGTCTCCCAGGGTACCAGTGTAATTCCCATATGGTGTTACCTAAATCTGCAAAGGACGGAATCGACTGGGGAGATGTTGTTCCTCATGCGGAGTGGTTTGAGAAAGATTTTGACTATCTTCAGGGTGCTCACGACCATGACTTTACACTCTTACCTGAGTGAATATCAACGAAGGTCGAGTTATATGCTAATTAGACTGCCCTGCAATATAACTCCACTAATAAACACCTAATTTCCATGGCTATATCGATTCTTACTCTTCGTAAAGCTGCATGAGTTCTCAGCCTTCCCTATCGTTATTGTGTGCTCTGGCAATCCTGTTATTTTTAATGGTTAACTTCGTTCTCTTCCTTCACTACCAGTCCACTTTCGTCGACGACCGGCTTTGACGCTTGCTCCTTAGTTAGCCAAGTGCTTGAAATACGTGGAGGAAATACAGACCATAAATTCTCTTGCGGCACGCCTTGCATGGCAACGAGCAAGCAATGTGTGGTAGCTCTTCGATTGGAGCTGGATTGACGCAGAACACAGGACCTCTCGTTGAGCTCGTTGCGCCGCAACGGATCTTGTGCGCTGGGGTGATGAAGTGGCCGCAGCTACATTTCACCAAGTAATGGCCGCAGATGCACCGTCGGTTCTTGTCCAAGGAGAGCACATTCCTGACGTAGGTCTCGATCTCTTCGGAGAGTTTCGGTTGGCGGAAAGGTTGAGGGCTCATGATTTCGAAGAGCTGGAGGTAGTCGTGGCAGTTACACGAGGCGCAAAAGTCCAGGCTGTTCTTGCGTTGCTGGCTTGGTAAGGATTCCTTGAATCTAGTCGCGCAAACTATCGGGGATTGCGATGTATCGGTTGATTTATGAGTGGACTGATGAAGTTTTCATGGAGGAGGACTGCAAGTTTAACGGAAAGACGTCGCAGATTGTGCAGCACGCTAACCATGCTGTTGCATTCTTTGTATTTGTCTGGCGCTCTGGCAACTCCCAGACTCGATATCTTGTGATCCGCGGGGCAGCGTCCAAGCCACGCATTAGCCATCCATAACATAGCGTCTGTGCGATGCTTAGCATACAGGAGGATCCAAGGAACAAGTGTTGAACAAAGAATCTGGGATAAATTATCTACTCTTTGTTCAGTCTCGTAGTCCCGGGAACAAATGGAGAAGAGACGAGTGAGACAAGGCTGAACTGAGAAGTATGAGATTCATGGCCTTCATATCATTGGAATCGAATGGAAATATCTATCAATGCCGAAGGTAACAAGACTAAATTTCACGTCTCAGTCACTTCGTTGATGTTGGCAGCTGTTAAGGGCAACGCTGGGAAGATCTTGTAATGATAACAGAAAACGGTTGCGTGGTGTAATGGGAACATCCAGACTGTTTCTCTACGAGCCAGATCAAGTGATTAACCCCAAAGAGACTCAAGTGAACAACCTTGGAGGGTGAGGGCTGTAGCAAGCAGCTGAGTACCTGGTTCGAATCCAGGCGCGGCCATTTTTGGGTTATTGCTTTATAGCCTCTCCAATACTACATCATTTATATTTTCCCTTTAAGCTCGTGATGCCAATGTTACTAGTAACACACCGCTTCAGCCTACACTGTACTATTTGTTGATGATTTTCTCCAAGCCCTTGAACCCTCCAAGTAGCTGCTACGAAGAGTCGGTATTGAACTTCTGGTGGCTGACGAGAGGGCTATACAATAAGAATTCTAATAATTTCCTAGCTGCAGACCGGATGAGGGGCACTACTTTATCTAGATACTGGAAAATCTCTCACGAACGAGAGGTTTGGGTTAGGCAGGGACGCTACCTTGCTGGATTGAGGGGCTCGATGCCCGGTACGCTCTGACACCCGCATACGAGCTGCAGAGAGGCGCGTTCCCTGTGACCCGGGAAGACACCACACCCAAATATACGGATCGAGAATATCCACGCAATACGCGAACCAAGGCTATGCGGAGAAGATAGTCTCTGCGGGCCCACTGCAACTCAGCCAGATTGCCATGCCCCAGCGACAAGGCATATGACCTTCCGTGACCCGTGTACTGATTTTACCCGGGGCTCCACGTACACTTACCTCCGGAGGATAGGGCCGAGATTAACTCTCAATGAGGCCTTAGCCGGCGCTGGGTTGAGATCGGTAACATTATAAACCCCCGTGTCTCTCTATAGGCCAAGAATTCGAGTCTCGTGTGACGCTAAGAACTGTGACCTCCCACGCCAAGCATCACTGCATCCCGACGCCCTGGCTACCATAATGGGCAATCCGTTTGGAAGGCTGCTTGCCGTGCTATTAGCTGCCCTTAGCATCCTAGGCGTCAATTCGACCGAGCTCGAGACGCGACAGGACAGCTCCAAGTACTGCGACGCAACGTCCAAGCTCTGCTATCTCCAGGTCGTGACGAGATCATCCGCCCCGACATACCGAATTGCGATACCAGATGGCTCCTCGGGATCCTTTGACACGATTCTTCAGATCATCTCCCCAACATCTCTTGGCTGGGCTGGCTTCGCCTGGGGCGGGGGCATGACGCTGAACCCGCTCGTCGTCGCTTGGCCGAATGGAAACAAGGTGACAGTCACATCGCGATGGGCAACGTAAGTCTTGCCTCATAATGTTTATTTATTGATTCCAATTTTGCGCAATCTTCGGGGCTGACCGGCCGGGCTGGTTGCGATGTTCAGGGGGAGGACAATGCCGACCTCGTACCGCAGCGCGACCTACACGGTCCTGAGCTCGTCTGTCAACTCGACGCATTGGTCCGTTGAGGTTGTCTGCTCAGGCTGCAGCAAATGGTCTGGAGGCTCCCTCAGACCCAGCGATATCAACACTTTTGCATGGGCGGTCAGCAGGAACAAGCCGTCGCAGCCTTCAAGCCCTGACAGTAGTTTCCCGGAGCACACCAACGTAGGCATGTTTACCGAGGACTTGAGCCTCGCAAAGTCGCCTCAAAGTGTATTCCAGCAATATGTTCAGACTAAAAAGTCTGGTGGGTAGGCGATTCAAGGGGACACCGGAGAGCTGAGAGGCTGCGAGGAGGACTGGGCAACTGAGTCTGCATACGGGATTGGCATCACGATATATTTACAATGGAGGACGCATACACTACTCGGACTACGCTCCCTTTTCCAAAGATGAGAAATGAAATAGGCTCAAAGGAGAGGCAAGCTGATAGTTCTGAATATACTGCTGGCAAGCCGGAATATTTGCGGCAACTGCGTGTGATCTTGGGACAGAAGCCATGTGTGAACTCAGGCTTGGTTGGCTGACAAGAAAGCCGCTTTAGAGAAGCATAGTACTCCGGAGTGGTGGATTACCACAATCCCGTGAAGTCTAGTGCTACTGTGTTGGTAGGTCACTATCATCTAGTTCGTACGAATACCTCTGGATCGACGCGCCTGATACTGTGGTGTTGGTATGCTTGATGATCTTTGTGAGACATCGTGGCTCAATCATGTTATCTATATGCAAATACATATCTGGAAAGGAGTGATAAGCCATATCTCATGACGGTAATTTCTCCCACTTCATACCGAACACGCCGATAATAGACGCTACTGCGACGGCCATCGGCACGTAGTACGTTTCCATCAATGCCTTGTTGTAAGCCAGGATGACAGTGTCTAGCAATTCCACGGGGATCATATCCTTCAAGCTCGTGGCGCCGATGTTGGCAATGGTATGGGCGTCGAGGCCGCCTACGCCGTTGAGATGTTTGGCAAGCCCGTTTGCAAACACGGTGTTGGCCACCGACATGGTGATGGCTGGCCCAAGATTCTGGAACAGGGTCAAGGCGGCGGTGCCGGCGGGGATGTCGCTGAGGGGAAGCGTGGCCTGGACACCCATCATGGGCTGCTGGGTTCCGAGACCGACGCCGAAGCCTGCTAGCAGCGGGAAGGTCACCCACTTCGCCGGGCCGGAGTCGACTTGGAATGTGGACATCAATCCGAGACCAATGGAGCTGATGACGGTGGCTAGAAGCATAAAGGGATTGTACCAGCCCGTCATGGTGACGAGATACCCCGAGGTCAGCGCCATGACGACCTGGCCGCCGACCAGCGTGACGCTGCGTATGCCAGAGTCCCTTGCTGACTCTCCTTGGATGGCCTGGAACCAGATGGGAAGCCATATATCGATGGTGTAGTATGCAGAGTCGATCAAGGCAGCGTAGAAGCAGCCAAAGGCCACATTCCGCATGGTCAACAGCCTCGGGGGCAGCGCCGCCTTGTCACCTTTCCATATCTGCACGCCTACAAAGACGATGGCAAGGACGACGAAGAGAACGAGCAGGGCGATAACCCGGCCGTCGCTCCAAGGATATTGCGAACCGCCCCATTGCATCGCAAGTAGGAGGCATATGACACAAGGGAAGAAGATGAACAGGCCGAGAAAGTCGAACTGCCGCAGCTTTTCCCCGAGCGTCTTGGGCGCTGCTGAGTCGGTCTCGGTCTGCTGGGGCGGCTGGAACGCCAGAACGATGATGGCTAGCGTCACTGCGCCCAAGGGAAGGCTGGTGTAGAAACTCCACCGCCAGGTGAGGTAGCTGTCGGTATAGACACCGGACAGCAGGGGCCCGATGATGCCCCCAACTCCAGAAAAGGCCCCGATGAAGCCGGTGAGAACAGCACGCTGGCGTACCGGGGCAGAGTGGGCAAGGACGACCCAGGCGCCGATGAGGATACCGCTGCAGCCAATGCCGGTGATAGCCCTCCCTAAGATGAAGGCTATCGAGTTGGGGGCACTCCCGCACACGGCTGAGCCTAGGCACTGGAATACCACAGCTACCGTAAACGTCCACTTAAGAGAGAAGAGCTCGTAAACTTTGCCGTATACCAGTTGAAAAGAGCATAGCTGCATCGCAAGTCAGTCTAGGAAACAAAGGGTCATCGTAGAATGCCGCCGAGGAGGTCCGAGACTTACCGTCAGCATGTACGCCGACCCGTACCAGCCGATGTCGTCCAGCGAGTTGAACTGGTTCGTGATGGCCGGAATGGCCGTCGAGATCACCGTCATGTCGAAGAAGACGATGAAGACGGCCATGGCAAGGCCGAGCACGATAACGGCGAGCCGGAGCCGCTTTGGGTATTCGACATTGTCGTCCTCTTCTGCGCCGGCCGGCGCGTCCGCATCTGCGGGTCCCTTTTCGACCTCGACGATGCCGACCGAGGCGGTCTCAGCCGGGGTCCCGAGGCTGAGGGACTTGGTTTCCACGGCCGCCTCTTCGCCCGGCTTGGTCGCGTCGAGTGACATTGCCTGGAGACGCAGAGGTTCACGGGGACTGTGGGCTCAGGGTTGACGGAAAGTGTAGTAGCTATGCGAAGGAGGAAGCCGGACAATATCAGTTCACCACTGGACAGGAGCCACCCGAGAACCTCCTGCAGGCTGCAGCAGATCTCTTGGTAGCAATGCACCGGTGAGACTCGAGAGATTGCCACGAAGCCTGTCAACGCAAAACCGCTCCAAGACTGTTGGTTTGTGTAAGAGAGCCCACAAGGCCAAATCACCCAGCGATCCGGCCGAGGCTACGCAAAAGTGCGGGCAACGGAGATGTTGATGTTAATTAGATGGTTTCCTTGGACGGTCATTGATGAGGCCTGTCTTGTCAAGGATTCGGCATCTTCCCCGTGCAAGTACCGGTTTGATGGGGCGGCAGAGGAATCCACAAGACAGGTATGCTCCTGGGAAAGCCGAAAGGAACCGTCGAAGCTGTGAATAATACCTTATTCGGGCTACTGGGCACGTCTTTAGTGGACATCTGGTACGGGGTGACCCCAGGTGTGAGATTGGCCCGTTGAACTGAGGATGAGGTACGCAGCAGGCAATGCGACCTCCTGCAAGCAGTCTACAGCCGATCACACATGCGGTGGAGCACTCGATTTTGTCCCCTGTCGTCTCCAACCCTTGGCAACCTAGGCGCTGCAGGCCCTGGACACCCGTTGAATCCTTCGTCGCTGTGGGCGCCACCCGCGTACCGCAAGCCGAGAATCCGAATTTCTGAGCACGGTAGTAGCGTTCGCGGTCCGGTCCTTATGTGCATCCCGTAGCCTGTCTGGAGCAGGAGACGGTGCGCGCCCACGCGAATATACGTTGTATCGCATCGTTGCGTGCAGCCTGTAGCTATGCGGAAGCGAGATCCAGTACAACGAAGATCTGTACCGTGATGGTAAAAGGACCACAAAAGTACCCAGTAACGGAGTAAATTTTTTTTTCTTGCTATGGCGTGTCGAACCGAGACTGTAAGCCAAACTCGAGGAGGTCTCTGGCCGGAAGGGGCTAGGCGAGGCGTTAACCTGCTGCAGGGCAGTTACTATACGATGTTCGATGGGTTGTAGCTGCGGGCCGATGTGGAATTACAGACCTTCCCAATCGGTTACACGGCCTCTGATGGTTTCGGCTCTGGATCGACTAAGCGCTGATGATAGCTTGAGCAACTTGAGGCCAAGCTGGGCCAGACCGCTTCTGGATCCTGCAATTTTTTTTTTTCTTGTTCCA